TTCAACGAGTCAGCATGTCTCAGAGCTTTTGACATTCGTGAGCTGCCTTTTTTTTTTTTGGCTGATACTTTCCCGTCCAAGAAAAGAAAGTGTGATCTCTTCTTGTTTGCAGGAAGCGAGCTCCAAGATCAAAGCATGTGATGCTCACAATCATTGCTCATGTTGGGTTATGATAAAGATCATCAGTTGGCTGTTTTTGACGGTAGGCTAAACACCCTAGCCTTGATTTATTCTTTTCACTGTACCAGCAAATAGATATTTTCTGTGATTGCAATTAGAGAATAGTGCCAAAATGGTTCTTTGGTCTTGCGACACTTTTTTTCCCTTATTGCACAACATATCATGGCTCCACAATTTGAACAGAAGCCAACATTTTTTTTTGGCTTGGTTAATTGCATGCCCTCGTCTTTCACCGCCTTGACACATGGAACACCATCTTTTCTGCAGCTTAGGCATAGAAGATTTTTAAGGGTATTTCACCCGTATATGCTTCATCCCAATATTTAATTCATGTTTTTTTTTTCACCCAAAATGAATTTTATCATCCGATGGGAATTTATGAGTTTTCCTCCCAATATTTAGTTTGTCGGTTTTGTACCCGAAATGGATTCATCATCCGAGATAGCTCGGCAGAGCATGGAGGTTCGCTCGACAGAGCATGAAGATTTGCTCGGCAGAGCATGGAGATTTGTGGGTTGCCACCCAACATGGATTACCATCCATTTGTTTGATTTGTGAGTTTTATACCCAAGCATGGGGTTCGCTCAACAGAGCATGAAGATTTGCTCGGCAGAGCATTATTCATTTGCGGGTTGCCATCCATTTGTTTGATTTGCGGGTTTTATACCCAAGCATGAAGGATTTCAAGAGAGGAGCTTTGTTGCAAATGCAACGTGTATCTTTGATTGCTTCTGTCTTTGCAGGGAGTAGAGGCGTTGAGCCTCATTTTTGAATCTTAGCAGCCTGCCGGCTGATCCTCTATCTCCTCCCTTTCTGTAAAAATTCTTCAGCAGCCTTCTTTTTTATTTTTGTATTTCTCTATAGCCTGCCGGCTGCCCCTTGTGGCATTCCAGTTTCATGCCTTGATTTGACTTTGAGCTGAGGGGATTACCCCTTGTGACATATCAGCTTCATATCTTGACTTGACTTGTAAGTGTTGGGAACTGCCCCCTGTGGTGCTCGACCTCTCGTCACTTGATTGGCAAAGCTTTACTTTGCTCTATTTGTATTTATGAATTTGTTGGACTTGTTCAACCTTGATGATTTAGCCACTTGGTGAGCATACTTGGATAGCGAGTGTTCTTTGGCAGAAATCACCATCATAGGTTTTGTGATGCTCAAGTTGACAGCGGTTGGTCCTTTGTGGCCTTAGCAACCATTGATGTTGAAGCTGGAAAGACCAAGTTGATAAAGAATCAACCAGTCATGACTGAGTGCTCGTAAAGTCTTTGCTAGCCTTGGAACCTTAATGGAGTTGAAGAAGTTAGCCTTAATGGCATTTGTTGCAGCAGCTTCAAAATCTGTGATTGGGACAACTTTACAGTTAACTTTCTTCTTTGGAGCACTAACAACCCTTTTTCTTGCATTTTGGGGCTGCCTTCTTAGATGGAGTTCTTGTGGCTAGGGAATTAATGACCTTTGCAGTTGCCTTGCTAGCCATAACTCTAAAGGAGCTATTGGAAGTAGAGCATAACTTGTGGTGCCCTTGTTTTGGTTTTTAATATCCAGAGGCAAACATAAAGTAAATACGATTAGTCTATTTATGAATGGAGATGAAAAGGAAAATGGGTCCCACCGGGCTTGCCAAAAATTATGTTTAAGAAAAATGTGAACCTCCCAATATAATTTCACCACTACAAATTAAATAATGGAGTTTTATTATTTTAGGTTCGACCCATTCGAGACGCGGTGTCTCTTAATTACAATCCCTTGCTTCAAGGGAACACCCATTGATTCCATCATAGAGAAATAAAACGTGTCTTTGGTTTTGCGGTTGCTCCCAAGTCTAATCTCAGGGTGTCTTGCGGGAATCAAGCCACTCATAGTTCAAAGAATTGCAATGAATAAATGACACATTGTGAGGGAAATTTGATTTGAATTGTATTAAGAAGTGTTTGAGTGAATTTAGCTGAATAAACCAGGGATTTGATTTTGATATGTGTTTTGAGGCGAATTGGGTTAAGAATAAACCAGGGATTCTGTTTGGATTTGAGATTTGGGGAATTTGGTTGATGTAACCAGTGATTAAAATTTGGTTGCGGTTGCATCTATTGGGATGCTAGACCGCCTATGTACCCTTAATGGGATCAAACCGACGTAGTTCCAAATTTAGAAATTAATGGGTAAGTGTGGCCCACTAGTTGAGAATTTGTGTTTGAGAGATTTGAATGTGATCTCATTGAAATTTGCAAGGGTAGATGACCCATGAGAAAATTTGGAATGGTTTTGTACCATTTTTTCATTATCAATATCAAAGAAAACTAAAGGGCAATTTTGATGAACCCACTAATTTAATTTGATCATTGGCACATGCATTTGTATCCATACATGATTTGGAGGATTTGAGATTAATGGGCTTTTGTGATTTGTTAATCCATATTGATGCTCCTTTGATATCTTTTGAAATTGAGCTTGATGCTTGAAGCATGACCAATCATTTTTTTGGATTGGAGTCACTGTGTCACAACATGTTTGAGTCGCTTGACACTCCTTTCTAAATAGCTTCTTTGCCACAGTGATTGATTCCCATATTTCTTGTTGGGATTTTGTGGGCATGTTTGGTAGCCATCTTGCATTTGAAAATTAAGGCAGATAGACCCGAATGCCATAAGCATTTTATTGAGCATTCTTGACCGTCAATTGATTTAGTTTTCGTGAACCTTTGCTGACACTCTTGTGCACTTGCTTAGCTTGGTGCTGCAAATAGTGAACTCACGTCTTTGTCCCTTGGAATACAAAGGGGCACAAGTGCCTAGACACTATGCTTTCATTTGTTGCAGGCACCAAAAGTGATGTGAGGGACTTGAAAAAGCCTTGGTTTCAAACCTTCACCTTGTCTTCTATCTGTGTGAATCCCAATGCTTGTTTTATATTGTAAAGCATTTTCGTGAGCTTACTGGACATTTACAAAGAATGGGCCCTCTCAAACAATCACGCCACTGACTATTTTTTATTTTATTGTCTTTGACTTCTTGACGTCAGTATAAGCCAGCTATTCTGTGAGTTTGTTGCTAAAGCTTTATTTGAGCCTTTTGGTTTGTGGGCTTCCAAATGCTTATTCAAGTGAAATTTGGTGTTAAAGCAATTTGAACAATCACTTTACCTTGTGGCTTGATTTTCCCTTCCGTTTGTCATTGGCATGGGGCATTTTGCTTCTCCATGAAGCAAAAGAAAAGTATTGTATCTCATCGATTTATCTTATTTTTCCATAGTTCTACTCCTTCCTATTTAGAAGCTTGATAGCTTGAATCGTGGAGGATGAACTTATTAGAGAAATCTGCATTTCCTTTGGATTGGTTGGCATGAGTTTGGACCCAAACTTTGTGTATTTAGATTGATGCAGCTGGCAGCTTTGGGCTTGTTAGCTTTTGTCAAACTTGCCAATTCTTTCTTCTGTGGTCTCTTGCATAGGACTTGTTGGAGGGGATAAGAATTTGGCAAAACACATCTTGCATCAAACCTTTTTTTGTTTTTTCCTTGTTTGTAACAATCAAAGAGATCCCAATATCAAATTTTCTTTGATAGCGAATCAGCCATATGATCCGTTTTCTTCCCAGTCAAGAGAGAGGTCATTCGACATGTGGCCTTCCTTTTTATTTCTTTTTAAGCTACAGACTCTTCCCATTATTGTTTGTAACAAATCAATTTTGGGATGCTATATTTGAGAATGGCGCAGAGGCACAACGTCATGGACCACGCAAACCATTCCCACAGCTGCAGAATTTTTTCTATTTGTATCCAAGATTTTTTTGGGGTGCAAAATCTTGATTGAGAGTGAAACACCCATACTTTATTTTTAGGGTGCTATACCCAAATTTGTTTTCAGCGTGCAAAACCCAAGCTTTATTTCCGGGGTGAAAAACCCAATGCCTTGATTTGAGGGTTTAATACCCAATGACGGAATTTGCATCCAAATAATTTCTAGGTTTCACACCCATGGATTTGCATCCAAGAAATTTGATTCAAGGGTTGCCACCCCACATGGATTGCCATCCATTTGATTGATTAAAGGGTTGCCACCCATGATGGATTGATAATCCATATAATTTGGTTTGTGGGTTTCATACCCAAGCACGGAGATTTCCAGAGAGGAACTTTGTCGAAGATGCAAAAATATAAAGGTTTTGAACCGAAGTGGCTCACCTTCTTGAATTGAAATTGCTAGTTTCATTGATTTGGAGCATTTGGTTTGCCCTATTTTTTTCTTCATCACTGCCGTGCACTTTTTTTCCTTCAGCACTGTTGTGCATTCTCCATGTCTCCCAAGCCTTACGCTTTATTTTTTTGGTATCTCCCTGCGGCCTGCCGACTGCCTCTCCTTTTTTTCTCTGCAACCTCACGGCTGCCTTCCCTTTTTTTTCCTGTGCGACCTCACAGCTGCCTTCCCTTTTTTTTTCTCTGCAACCTCACGGCTGCCTTCCCCCCTTTTTCTTCTTTTCTTGCTGTTTATATATTGATCACCCATCAACGAATGTTTTAATTTGAAAACATGATGATAAGCTGAGCCTTAAAAACGGAACTGCCAATTTCCTATGAGAGTGCCCACTATTGGTCAAACTCTCATATTTTTATTTTTTGAATTTCCTCCTTTATTTGATCAGCAAGTTTGTTTTGTTTTTAGCACTTATCAACTTAGATTAGATAAGGTTTGTTGCACTTGAGATTTGACCAATACAACTTTGGCCAAAAAAAAATTTTGTGAATATTTTTGGTTCAACAGGCGCATTTAACTTTAATCGTCTAAAATCAATAACAAAAACCACCAATGCAAAGTAGCAAAGTTTTCAATTCAAAGGGAAACGTATGAACATTGCTTGGAGAGAACATTGTACATATATCAGTTACATTTCGAAGGAAACATGCCTAATGTATTACAGCCAAAGATTAATGGCCTGTCTTTTATTGAAACAAAGCTGTCGAAAGGGCAGCAGTAGGTGAGAAGGTCATGGCACCACTAGGCGCATTGGAAGTCTGTTGGGACAGACTTGCCACAGTAATTCAAAAGCAAGCTTAAGGAGACTGGCACATTAAGATTGATGCCCAAAACGTTGGCCTTAATGGCAGTGCAAAGGCACACAGCAGCATCAACATCAGCAAGACCCGCAATGAGGCTACAGCAAGGGGTCTTTGATGGGGTCCCCACAACAAGGTGCACCAAATCATTCAACAAATTGGCACATACCCCTAGCTTAAGGGTGTCTTTAGGGCAAGAGGGTTTAGGAGGGTTGGGGCTTGGGGTTGGGGTTGAGGGAGGAGGTTGTTTTGGGGTTGGGGTTGGAGTTGGGGGAGGTTGTTTTGGGGTTGGAGTTGGGGTTGGGGTTGAGGGGGAAGGTTGTTTTGGGGTTGGATGGGGAGGGTGTTTAGGTTTTGGGGTTGGTAAACATTGATGACAATCAGGAATGTGATGATTTGAACTCACTGTAGTGAAAAACACAAGGTTAAGGGAGAGAAGAAGAGCAATTGTCAATGCATTATGAGAAGCCATTTTAGAACTAAATTCCCTCAGGCAGTGAAATGACTGATTGATATTCTTGGGTTAACTTGTAGATGGATTTTTAGGTGGTGGATATAGATACTAGCGAACACAATTAGGGTATTTATAGACTTTCGTTTTATGAAAATAATCTAAATTTGTCAAAGACACCCGTGTGAAAGCACAATTAGCATACACTGTTTTGGATGTAACTCTCTCACTTGCTGGCCTGGGGCCAATGCCATATTCAATTTTGGAGCATTCTGACTTTTATGCTTTCTAAACCAAAACAAAAGGACACCCTTTGTTCTTATTAGTCAAAAAAAGTTTTAAATATCTTGATCGTGTCCTCATTTGTCCAATATATCCTAAAATTATCAGGGTTCTCCTTCTACTAAAGAGAATTACCAGCCGACATCGATTTCGGGTGTGTAGATGAATGTTCTCTATCACTTAGTTTCTAGTAAGAGATATCACTTTGACAGTGGGGAGCATCCATTGTGTAGATAAATGCTTCTTACCATTGAATCCATAATATTGAGAGATATCACTTTGACAATAAGGAGTAATGAACAACTAGAAACTAATGTCGACCCGATAAACAATCAAACTGGAACCTTCTAAACCCCACCAATGTCACCCAGCAGTTAAAATGACTCTACTAATTATTATTACAATAATGCTACAGATACCAACTTGTTATAATTATTCTTATTTTTTATTTTTTATTTTATTTTAGTTACAATAAGGTATAGTAGTATGAAAACTCCGAATCACTATGCCTTCAATTAACATTAGAAATTTAGGATCTTTGTTGATGCCAATTTCATTATCTTCCACAATGAAGGAAATTAAGCACACGTGCACATTATATGAGAAGCCTATAATCAATTTTCTTCTCTATTATCAAACCTTTATTATTATGAGTCTGGAAAAACTTCTCCAGAGTCAATATGTTGTTATTCTTTGGTGACAGGACAAACTATATGAATTTCAAAATTTAATTATTATGGTTCATAAAAAAACAATCCATCCATGAAATCTTAATTCTTTTGGGAAGGAAGCTTTCATCCAAAATCCCAGATTTCATGGGTAGTGAAAATTATCTTATGCATAAAGATAAAATGCGACTTAAGAGACAAAAACAAGAAAAAATACCTCAATTTCTGAAGGGGGCTGCTTGTTACGCAAAGTCCCTATTTAGCCAGACAATAATGTCTCAATCTTCTTCTAATGTCCCTATCCTACAGTGAAACTTAAACTCACTGATAAATTAATGCAGTAAATTTTGTTGTTTGGTTAACGAAAAGGAAAAAGAGTGCAGTAAAAGTTCACCTCACATGAACAAATTACATGGCAAGGGGCACACGTGGACATGATTCCAAAAAGAATGAGAAGAATGACAATAGGGGAAAGGCTACGAACAAGCATCCAAGCGCTCATCTTGTTATCCTTCCAGTTGATGTTCGCTCACCTATTGGATGTGAAAGGAATGAAGGAAACAGAATGACTGGGTTTTGCCACTCGAGCGACAACAAGGCATGTTCAAACAACATTTCTCGGACTCAGGCGGAAAATAGGCTCGCTCGAGCATCATGTTTCAGACTCAAGCGTACACAAGCTCTTGAGCGGACCTAAGGAGCTCTTGAGAGGCAGTCGCGAATCCTGAAGTTTTTAGGATGTTTTTCCTGTTTGAGGGTGTTTTAAGTTTCCTATTCTTTATAAGATTGTACTAAAGTCTTATGAGTATAAATTGAGATCTTAGTAATTTGATTTTCTCTAAGTTGAGCATAAGAGAGAAAACAAGGCATTCAAATCAGATTTGAGCAGGGTGAGAGAGAAAAGAGAGCTCGGGTTTAGTAAGGGCTAAGGGGATTCTTCATTGTAACCAAAGGTGTTCTTATTACTAGTGAATTTCTCAAGGTGATCACCAAAGAGGACGTAGGCGCAACGCCGAACCTCTATAAATTCTTGTGCAACTTCCCGACCCAAAAATTTAATTATTCGTTAATTAAATTAGTTTAATAAATGCAATTTTGCCCCCAGGGATAAGGTCATTTTGGTTACTTTTTAATCCGGAAGGATTTTGGGAAAATGAATGGCACTATTGCGTAGATCGTGTCGAGATGAGTCTGTAGACACGTAGTAGGCTCAAATTGGAGTTGTAACAAAAAAGTTATGATCAAAAGAAGCATAGTGGCATAACCGTAATTATTTCAAAAATGGTTTTTAGAAACTAGAATTTCTCTCTCTCTCTCTCTCTCTCTCTCTCTCTCTCTCTCTCTCTCTCTCTCCCTCTCCCTCTCCCTCCCGGTGAGAACAGCCGACGGCTTTTGTGGCCACCGTCGCCGTTTTCGACCAACATCGGCCACAAGGCCGGTACCAAATGAACCGCCACCACCTCCTCTCTCCATTCCGCCTGTGCCCCCGCCACAATCAGCCACCTCCGCAGCCAGAAAACACAAAAAAGATGTTGGTTTTTCTCAAAACTTCTCGGAGTTAGTTCGGGTGATTCCGGCCACCAATTTCTTCGATTTAGGTATGCTTTTTCATCCTCTCAATGTGTTCTAGCTGATGGTTGGGTTGTTTAGGATTGATTTCTGTGTTTTGAAACTGCTTTTTTCACTTAAAGTTTTGGCCGGTTTCGGCTCGCTATTCCGGCTATCTCCGGTCACTTTTTGGCCATGATCCAAGAACAAAAGTTGCTCCACTCATTGTTCTGATCATGTAGGTATAGGTCTTGACCGGCGCTTTGGAGATTTTTCTATCGCAGAAATTACTTTGGGCACCCATGCACTGTCGGCCCGTGTGGTAGTGCGTGGGCCACTTTGTGGCGGGCCTTTGGGTTCTAAAATGATCCCCATGTCATCCCGAGCACGACGGTATGCTCAGATTTGAATTTGGTTATCGTTTGACTGTCGATCAGATATCGCATATTAGGCGTTATCCGGGTTCGATATGTTCGGACCTTTGGATCGACTCCATTTTCATATATGTTGATCTAGGCATCCCTAGGAACATGTAGGAATTCACGGATCATCAATTGGAGTGTCGGATACTTTGATTCAATGATTCAAAGATTAGGTTAAACGACGACTGTCCAATCGTGCGATCGTTGAAATTGGTACTTAGGTGACGAGGGGTAAATTTTAAGACACTTAAACAAAACGCAACAATCTTCACACACTTTAGACCTTGACCAAATACACTTGTGACTAGTCAACTGCTAGTCATGAACAACCACAATCAAGAATACACACAGAGCATGCCACAATGTACCTGCAACCCTAGAAAATTACTAGTGACAACCTAGGCACTTAGAAGGACCCGTCAATCTAGGCATCCCCTATGCTAGTAACAACTATGGTGGAAGTGTGTGAAATCATCATAATCAAATAAACACCAAACATCAGATAATGATGACTAGTCAACTACAAAGACACAAACCCAGAATTCATACGATGACTAGTCAACCACCAAGAACAAACCCAGAATTCATACGATGAGTAGTCAACCACCAAGAACACAAACCTAGAATTCATACGATGACTAGTCAACCACCAAGAACACAAACCCAGAATTCATGCGATGACTAGTCAACCGTCAAGAACACAAACCCAGAAAAGTCAGATATGCAAACCAGAAATCTGTTCACCCAGAAACCCACAATTGGGAAAAACTGGGGGTCATCAACCGACCAGGCAATCCACTAAGTAGAAAAAGATTCTTACAAAGGAACACAAGCAAGCTCAAGAAAAACCTAGATTTATTTAGGAAGATGAGCTATACCTCCTTTGTGCAATCTTCTTCTCCAACTTAGCAAAGCTTCAAGTTCAGTTCTTCATGGTAATGGCAGCTCCTTCTCCAGCTCTTTCATCCCATGGCACTAGCTTGCAAGCTCTAACTCAGATTGAAACCAAAATTTGGATTCAAAGGAGAATGACCAATTTCTTCAAGAAACCATACTCTTGAAGAAATCAGTCTTGAATCAGACTTAGATATAAATGAGTGTTTTAATTAGCTAGATGCAGATTTTCATTTTTCAAATGCAGTTTTCAAAAAGAAACAATTTGGAAAACTCAAGGATGAAAAATATGAAGGTTCCTCTAGAGGAAGAAGCGAAAGTTTGCAAAGAAACTTTCCAAAACTTGCCTCCCAAAGTCACAGCTACCAAATGAGGAATGCACATGTTTTTACACAAAATTCCTTAGGTCAAAATCGACACATGGAAGCAGAGAGGGAATGGAGAATATGACAAAAACGTTGGATATCCAGCTGGAAATCCTACAGAGCAAGGATGACTAGTCATCATTTTATGAAATCAATTTAATGTAATGTGATGCAATGCACAATTTACCTTTTTCAATTTGCTTGAACCTCCATAGGATAGTTGTTAGTTAAGAACACCTAAAGAAGCTATTCTTAATCTAAACTTGAGCTTGATAAAAACAATAAAAATCCTATTACAAAATTGTCAAGGGAAGCCAAAAGAAATACTCAAAATGCATACATTAACAATCGCGAGCTATTCGACTGTTCGATTCGGGCCAAACAGGACAAGTATATTAAACCTTGTTGAATTGTAGGAACCTTCGGATTGGAAATCGGAGGTTGTGGGCCCCGCGGGCCCTGTTGACCAAGTTTGGACAATTTGATCCTCGGTTAACCGTGAGTCTTCCGAGGTAGTTTCACCCTTCGAGAAGTACTAGAACGACCGTGTAAATGAGTCTTGCCTGTTATTTGAGTTATTATGATTATGTTGGGATTATGAGATCGTTTTATAGTATCTTATGGAATTCTTGAATACTATATTGACAATTGAAATTATGAAATAGATGTGCTTGGGATACTTGATTGGTGGATTGTGATAGTGAGCCTTGGGCTCGGCTATGATTATTAGTAAATAAGTGGACGTTTGTTTTTAAGGATACTTCGTTATTCTAATATGGAATTTCTTGCATATTGAGTTTTGATTGAAAAGTTGATTTAATATGGGTTAATGAGGATATGGGATCTCTAAGGGTTATTATTTATCATTAATTAATATTATTATGATTATTATTAAAGTATATGGATTGGGTGATATCGGGCTATTTACTAAAGTTTATTA